ACAGGAATATTAACATAATCCTTGAGAGCAGGATTATGGGGAATGGCACTCTTTGTTCTGTGTTTCTGTAATGTTACAGATTTTAAAACAACCATTCATTACCTTTGCAGTAAGCAATAAACAAATAAATGGGTACACAAACTATATGTTAGATACTTAAAGACTGAATTCAGAGATGGAAGTCAAGTGACACTGGAGAATGGTATAATCAAGGAATGCCTAAAAATGACTCTCTGCCACCCATAGCCATACCTAGTTTTATAGGTGAATTCCAGCAAGTAAGGTGAATCATAATATATTTCACAATAAAACTGCCTTAGTTTCTGTGCAGGGGCAGGAGGAGATACCCATATATATTTTAACTTTCAGCAAGGAAGGAGTTAATAAAATAGGCTGTGCCAACAGCAGGATGAATGTTGTGGTTCTAGGAATGTCTTCCAGTATTTAAGAGCACTCTTCAAAAGAAAAGTAATTATAATAAAACAATCCTTTATACCTAAAAGTGGCCTCATTAAGTGCACATTTTAAATGTTCCACTCAATCATATTTAAACAAAATATATATGGCAAAATATATTTTAATAAAGTGTACATGTGCTTATTCTAGCTGCCCCGGATCTGATTTTGAAAATTCAACAATGTCTGACTCTGGACAGGAGGAAACTGAAAGACCAAAATACAGTTTCCCCAGACTCTGGGCAGCTGGCTGTTCTTGGCTGCCTAGCCTCACTTGGCCTCTATTGTTTTTTGAGCCTGGTTGCTTCTCCAGCCTTCCCATTGATTCTATAAACTAACAATCCTTCCACAGTTGGTTTCTATTGCTTGGAAGCAGGAAGCTGACTACCAAGCAGTAGATATAGGCAACTGTATAATGTGAAGACACAGCACCTACAAAAAAATGAGCCACTTTTGAAGGTCTGAACAAGACATATGTTGTTATCTATAACATGTTAATAAATACACTTCACAGTTCGATTAGATTTGAGATGTTTTACATAGAACCACATTTCTCCTAGGTTTGATCCTTTGCTTCCCTTCCAGGAATTGCTGTCATATCCGAGTGTCCCTAACTCCACACATAAATAGCCCTGTGCTTTATCACCAGTCATGTTTCTTTTATAACATCACACTTTCAAAAAAGTGTCATTATGTAACATGATCTACTCAACAGTAAAAATGCTATAAAGTTTTGGTTTAACATTATAAAAAATAAATTACTGAACTATCTTATTAGGTTAAGTTTAAAAGTCTATAAAATATAACACAGCCTCACCTATAACAAAATGATAACCACCTGAGTTTCATTTGTCTTATGGAAATAATAATGCCTGTCTTATCTCCCAGTATTAACATAAGGATCAAATAATTTATGAACATTAATATGTTTAAGGTATGTACCATATTTCATCAAATCTTAAGATACATCTACTGTAAGACCTATCATTAGTTTATATACCACAAAAAAAGAAACAATACGGCCAATTAAAAACTATAACACATACTTTCTTAACACTTACAAATTCTATTTCAAAACCTAGCAAAAGAGACATTTATGTAAGTAGACATAGATTGTTATATATAATTCTTGTGCAAATATTACAAGAAAAATATGAATGAAATAAATGGGTTAAGGTATTCTTAACAGTTTTCATTGAACCCAACACTCCCAAATCATTTCTCAACTCAATCACTGATAGCATGTTTTCCCACATAATATCATGATCTTTGCCAGCAGAAACATTGATGATATAGCATTTCTTATAAGAATCCACAAACTGTTTTTCTGGTTCAAGACAGTGACAAAAGAGAACCTTAAAGTCACCTCCTTTCACAGACACACTGAATCTTCAGCTACATACAGAACAATCCCCTCTGAAAGAAATCTAGAAACTAGCTGAGTGACTCTTACACATCAGGCAAGTGGGAAAAAACTCCCACTGAATTGAGTAGGAAAGCCTCAGATACAATCTTATCCCTGGAGCAGCAACACACAACTAGGAGGGAGCTCACAACTCCCAGCTTCTCTCTGAGGAGAGAAGGGCTTGGACACCAGAGCTGGCACCACAACTTTTAAGACTTCTACCTGAGAAATGGACTCACAAAACACCTAGCTCTGAAAGCCAACAGGGACTTACATCCACGAGATCCACAGTCTATAGTGAACTAATAGTTCTTACAGGATTTGTGTGGACTCACCATGGCTTGGCCCTCAGAGCCCAGCGCAGAGGGAGCAGACTGAATCATGCCCAGTTTCCCCACGAAAGAAGCTATTGCTTACCTTTAAAGTTTTGGCTTGAGGGGCAGGTTTCTAATTTAAAACACTTCTAGAGGCGAACTGCAATATTCTCCAGAAACCACAGAGACTGGTAGGGACATCTTCCTGTTCTCCCTCTGCCTCACTCCAGGTAGGTCATCAGTATATCCCAAAAAGGAGCTCGTCCACATGTCTGGTGCCCCAGTTTTTGCAGCTGCTCCCAGAGGAAGCCCTCTAATGGGGCTTATGTTTGCAGGTACCACAAGACTGTAAGAGAGAAACCATTCTTAAGGAGGTATCCATCCCTCACTGCACACTGCAGAGGCAGCAGATTGACACACAACCTTTTTGTGAAAGAGGCCTATTAGTTTATCTCTCAATAGCTGTGACCTGTGGGGCAGGCTTCTATCATAACGCACATCTAGAGGCCCATTGCCATCCTCTCCAGAAACCAGGAAGGCCAGCAGGCACCATCTTTGTGCTCTCCCTTTGTCCCACTCCACGTTACCAACGTCTTTGAGAAAGGAGCTTATGCATAACGGGTGCCACCCTGGCTTTTGTGGCTGCCCCCCAGAGGACACATCTCTTGATAACCTGGCACTGGTAGCCAGTGGGACTCGTGTTCATGGATTCAGTGGGTTGGTAGCAAACAAAGAAACAATTCTTAACTGTCTATCCCCCTCAGGGCTTAATGTGCAGAGGGAGCAGACAGAAACACACATCTCCCAGTCTGCCCCTGAAGGAGGTATATTTACATACTTAATTTAATTAATTTTTTTTTTTTTTTGAGAGTGAGAGAGCATGAGCAGGGGAGGGGCAAAGAGAGAGGGAGAGAGAGAATCTTTTTTTTTTTTTTAATGTTTATTTATTTATTTTCAGAGATGGGGGAAGAGCAGAGAGAGGGAGAACAAGAATCTTGAGCAGGCCCTGCACTGTCAGTGTGGAGCCCAATGGAGGGTTGACCCACAAACCATGAGATCATGACCTGAGCTGAAATCAACAGTCTGACGCTTAAATGAATGAGCCACCCAGGTGCTCCAAGAGGTATATTTACATACTTTAAAAAGAAGTGGCTCAATGATGAAAATACCCAAATCTGAGTATCAGAGGACTTCCAATCTACCTGATGCATGATCTTTGTAGTTCTGAGAAGCAAAAGTAATTTAAAACAATAAGGGCTTATGTCTAGAGTTAGGAATGCATGCGTGTGTGGATGTGTGTTCATAAAAGTGACAGTAAAATAGTGAGAACTTTTTGATGGATGAGTAAGATATCTGTGGGGGTAATTATGTATGTGTATGAAAGACTAATTAGCTCTAATCAATGATGAAAAGGTTTTAATACAGACCTTTGTAACTACAAGGGTTTCTACACTTTCTCTGAGCTCAAAATGAAAAATTTTTTAAAGAAAGTTAAAAAGATGCTCCCTGGTGTCTGCTTCTAATCTGTCTGCATTTAGTGCTGACTGAAATCTTCCCCTTTGGGACAATGAGAAATATTGGCACACCCTCAACTACTGGAAGCCACTAAGAACATAGAAGTCCATTTGGACAACCACAACATTTTGAGAGAAAACCACAAGGAAGTCAAGATTGAACAATAAGGTTCATTGCCTAAATGAGACCACCTCTTCAAGACCGAGAAACGTGGTTGCTTTATCTAATGCACAGAAAATCAACAGAAAGAGTCAAGAAAAAAGAATAGAGGAATATGTTCCAAACAAAACAACAAACTAAAACCTCAGAAAAATTCCTTAATGAAAGAGAGATAAGTGACTTACCTGACAAGAAGTTCAAAACAATGGTCATAAAGACCACTTGCTGAGGTCAGGAAAACAATGCATGAACAAAGTGAGAATTTCAACAGGAGATGAAAAATATAAGAAAGTACCAAACAGAAATCACATAGCTGAAGAATTTAATAATTGAACTGAAAAATTCAATAGAAGGTTTTTTGTTTTTTTTTTACATTTATTTATTTTTGAGAGACAGAGACAGAGCACAAGTGGGGGAGGGACAGAGATAGAAGGAGACACAGAATCTGAGATGTCAGGCTCTGAAATGTCAGTACAGAGCCCGATGCGGGGCTCAAACTCACAAACTGTGAGATCGTAACCTGAGCAAAAGTCCAATGCTTGACCGACTAAGCCACCCAGGTGCCCCTCAATAGAAAGTTTTAATAGCAGATGAAGTGAAAGAAAAAATCAGCACACTCTAAGATAGGGCAGTAGAATTCATCCAAAAAGAGGAGCAAAAAGAAAAATAAAACAGGTTAAGGGACTAATAAGGACAACATCAAGAGGCCCAACATTATAGGGGTCCCAGAAGGAGAAGAGAAAGGGGCAGAAAAAAGTCTTTAAAGAAGTAATGGCTGAAAACTTCCCTAACCTGAGAAAGGAAACAGACATCCAGATCCAGTAAGTTCGAAAGAAGATGAATTCAAAGAGACCCACACCAAGACACAGTATAATTGAATTATCAAAAGTTAAAGACAAGGACAAAATATTAAAAACAGCAAGAGAAAGACAACTTGTTATGTATAAGGAAACACCCATAAGACTATCAACAAATGTTTTCAACAAATTCTTGCAAGTCAGAAAGGAGTGGCATGATATATTCGCCGAGCTGAAAGAAAAAATCTGCCAACCAAAAATACTCTACCTGGCAAAAAAAAAAAATCCTTCAAAATTGAAGGAAAGAAAAAGAGTTTTCCAGACAAGCAAAAGCTGGAGGAGTTCAGCACCATTACACCGAATCCACAAGAAATGTTAAAGGAATTTCTTTAAGCTGAAATGAAAGGGGGCTAATTAGTAACAGGAAAACATATGAGAGTATAAATTTCATTGGTAAAGGTAAATACATGGTTAAGTTCACAATAATTTTTTTTTTAATTTTTTTTCAATGTTTATTTATTTTTGGGACAGAGAGAGACAGAGCATGAACGGGGGAGGGGCAGAGAGAGAGAGGGAGACACAGAATTGGAAACAGGCTCCAGGCTCTGAGCCATCAGCCCAGAGCCCGATGCGGGGCTCGAACTCACAGACCGCGAGATCGTGACCTGGCTGAAGTCGGACGCTTAACCGACTGCGCCACCCAGGCGCCCCGTGGTTCACAATAATTTAATGCAATGGTGGTAGGTTAATCATTTATAAAACTAGTATGAAGGTTAAAAGACAAAAGTAGTGAAAAATAACTATAATTACAATAATTTGTTAATGGATACACAGACAAAAAATATAAATTGTTAAATCAAAAACATAAAAGGGGGGCAGTAAAAATGTAGAGCTTTATAATTAAGTTGGACTTAAGAGTTGTTGTCAACTTGAGGCTCTTGGGTAGCTCACTCAATTAGGCATCCAACTTCAGGTCAGGTCATGATTTCACTGTTGGTTTGTGGGTTCAAGCCCTGCATTGGGCTCTGTGCTGACAGCTCAGAGCCTGGAGCCTGCTTTGAATTCTGGGTCTCTCTCTCTCTCTCTCTCTCTACTCTTCCCCGGCTTGTGTTCTCTTTCTGTCTCTCAAAAATAAATAAATACATTTTTTAAAAATTTTAAGTTATTATCAACTTAAAATAGACAGTTATAAATATGTTTTATGTAAGCTATGCTGTAACCACAAAGCAAAACCTATACTAGATTCATAAAAGATAAAGGAAAAGGAATCTAAGCATACCAATACAGAAAATCATCCAATCACAAATGAAGAGAACATAAGAAAAAGGAACAAAGGAATTAGAAAACGATGAACACGATGGCAGTAAGTCCATACCTATCAATAATTACTTTAAATGTAAATGTACTAAATTCTCCTATTAAAAGACACAGAGTGGCTGAAGAGATTTTAAATATATAAATATCCCAACTATATGCTGCCTATAAGAGACTCATTTCAACTTTAGGAACACACACAGGGAAGGGAAGGTATGGGAAAAGACAGTGTATGCAAATGGAAATCAAAAGACAGCTAAAGTAGCTATACTTGTATGAGGAAAAAATAGACTTTAAGACAAACCTGTAATAAGAGACAAAGAAGTTAATTATATAGGGGCACCTGGGTGGCTCAATTGGTTAAGCATCTGACTTCAGCTCAGGTCATGATCTTGTGGTTCATGAGTTCAAGCCCTGCTTTGGGCTCTGTGCTGACAGCTCAGAGCCTGGAGCCTGCTTTGGATTCTGTGTCTCCCTCTCTCTCTCTGGCCCTCCCCTGCTATCTCTCTCGCAAAAATAAATAGACATTAAAAATTTTTTTAATGATTTTTATGATTAAAAAATTTTCTAATGATAAAAGGGTCAATCCAGTAAGATGACGGAACATTTGTAAATTTACATACACCCAACATAGAAGCACCTAAATATATAAAGCAAATATTAACAGACCTAAAAGGAGAAATAAACAGCAATCCAATAATAGTAGGAGACTGCAATACCTCACTGTCATCATTGGATAGATCATCCAGACAGAAAATCAATAAAGAAACATAGGACTTAAACAACATGCTAGAACAGGTGGTCTTAACAGACATTTATAGAACATTCCATCCAAAAGCAGCAGAATAAACATTTTTCCCAAGCACACATGGGACATTCTCCAGGGTAGATCACAAAATAAATCTTAATAAATTTAAAAGACTGAAATAATATCAAGCATTTTTTCCCAAACACAATGGTATGAAACTAGAAAACAATTACAAGAAGAAAACTGGAAAACTGACAAGTTATGTGGAGATTAAACAACATGCTACCAAACAACCAATAGGTCAAAAAAGAAATAAAAATAGAAATCAAATTTTGAGACAAATGAAAATGAGAATATAACATACCAAAATTTATAGGATGCAGCAAAAGTAGTTTTAAGAGGGAAGTTCACAGTGATAAATACCTATATTAAGAAATAAGAAAGATCTCAAATAAACCACCCAACTTTATACCTTATGAAACTAAAAAAAGAATTAAGCCCTAAGTTAATAGAGGGAAGGAACTAACAAATATCAGAGCAGAAATAAATGAAGCAGAGACTAAAAGAATCAGTAGAAAAGATCAATGAAACCAAGAGCTGGTTTTTGAAAAGATAAACATTTAGCTAGACTCACCAAGGAAAAAACAGAGAGAAAACTCAAAATAAAATCAGATATTAAAGAGATGTCACAATTGACACAATGGAAATACAAATAAGAGAGTATTATGAACTTCATACCAATAAACTAGACAATGTAGAAGAAACGAATACATTCCTACAAACATACAACCTACAAAGACTGAATCATGAAAAAAGAGAAAATCTGAACAGACTCATTACTAGTAAGGAGATTGAATCAGTAATCAGAAACCGCCAACAAACAAAAGTCCAGATGGCTTCCCTGGTGAATTCTATCAAATGTTTAAAGAATTAATACAAATCCTAGGGGCGCCTGGGTGGCGCAGTTGGTTAAGCGTCCGACTTCAGCCAGGTCACGATCTCGCGGTCCGGGAGTTCGAGCCCCGTGTCGGGCTCTGGGCTGATGGCTCAGAGCCTGGAGCCTGTTTCCGATTCTGTGTCTCCCTCTCTCTCTGCCCCTCCCCCGTTCATGCTCTGTCTCTCTCTGTCCCACAAATAAACGTTGAAAAAAATTAAAAAAAAAAAAAAAGAATTAATACAAATCCTTCTCAAACTCTTCTAAAAAATTGAAGAGGGGGGAGCACTTCCAAACTTATTTTATGAGGCCAGCATTAAATATCAAAACCAGATAAAGGCACTAAAACAAAAGGAAAATACAAACTAATATCCCTGATGAACACAGATGTAAAAATCATCAACAAAATATTAGCAAACTGAATTCAATAATACATTAAAAGGATGCAGCAAAAGCATTTGACAAAACACAACATCCATTCATGATAAAAACTCTCAACAGAGTACAGAGAGAAAATACCTAAACATACTAAAGACAATATACAATGAGCCCACAGCTAACATCATACTCAATTGTGAAAAACTGAAAGCTTTTCTTATAAGATCAGGAACAAGACAAGGATGTCTACCCTCACCACTTTTATTTAAAATAGTACTGGGAGTCCTAGCTAGAGCAATGATGCAAGATAAAGTAATAAAAAGCATCCAAATCAGAAAGTAAACTGTCTCTACATGCAGATGACATGATACTATATATAGAAAACCCTAAAAACTTCACCAAAAAAAAAAACCTCATTAGAATAATAAGTTGTAGGATACAAAATCAATATACAAAAATGAGTTGAGTTTCTATACACTAGTAACAAACTATCTGAAAGAGAAATTAAGAATACAGTTCCATTTACAATTGTTCAAAAGAATAAAATGCCTACTCTAAGACATTGATGAAATAAATTGAAGTCACAAATGGAGATATTCCATGCTCATGGACTAGAAGAATTAATATTGTTAAAATGTCCATTCTACCCAAAGTAATCTACAGATTCAATGCAATCCTTATCAAAATTCCAATGGCATTTTTTCACAGAAATGGAAAAAACAATTCTAAAATTTGTAACAGAACCACAAAAGATCCCAAATAGCCAAAGCAACTCTGAGAAAGAGGAACAATTCTACGGGCATCACACTTCCTGATTTCAAACTATATTACAAAGCTATAATAACGAAAACGGTATGGTATTGGCATAAACACAGCCACATAAATCAGTGAAATAGAACAAAGCCCAGAAATAAACCCATGCATATATGGTCAATTTATGACAAAGGAGCCAAGAATATACAATAAGTAAGGAATAACATAACAGAGGAAAGGGCTCAATAAATAACATGTGAAACATGCTTGACAGTATTAACAGCAGGATGAAAGAGGCAGAAGAACAAAATAGTGACCTAGAAAACAGAGTAATGGAAGCTAATCAAGCTGAACAAAAGAAAGAGAAAAGAATAATGCAAAATGAGAATAGACTTAGGGAACTCAGTGATTCCATCTAATTTAATAACATTCACATTAGAGGAGTACCAGAAGAAGAAGAGAGAGAAAAGGGGGGCAGAAATTTTATTTGAAGAAATAATAGCTGAAAACTGTCCTAACCTGGGAAAGGAAATACATTTATAGATCCAGGAGGCACAAAGATATACCAGAAGGTACAGAGAACCCTCAACAAAATTAACAAAAGCAGATCCACACCAAATCATATTATAATTAAAGTGGCAAAATATACTGATAAAGAAAAAATTATTAAAGCAGAAAGACAAAAGGAGATAGTTACATACAAGGGAAACCCCATAGGCTATCAGAGGACTTTTCAGCAGACACCTTCCAAGCCACAAGAGAGTGGCATGTTTTATTCAACATGCTGGGGAAAAAATAATCTGCAAGGCTATCATTCAGGAAATAGAGAGAGAGAGAGAGAGAGAGAGAGAGAGAGAGAGAGAGAGAGAGAGAGAAAGAGAAAGAGAGAGTGTGTGTGTTTCCCAGACAAACAAAAATTAAAGGAGTTCGTGACCAGTAAAGCAGCCTGGCAAGAACTATTAAAGACACTCTTCAAGTAGAGACCAAAAGTGACAGTACAAAGGAAAGAAATACAAACACAGTAAAAATGAATATTTTTATAAAATATCAGTCAAGGTGCTCACAAAAAGATGTAATATATGACACCATATACCTAAAACGTAGGGGGAAGAGGAGTAAGAATGTGTTCAAACTTAAATGACCATCAACTTAATGTAGACTGCTATATACAAAAGAGGTTATATACAAACCTAATGGTAATCATATGTCAAAAGCCACTAAAATATGCAAAGAATAAAGAGAAAGAAATCCAAATGTATCACAAACAAACAAACAGTAAACCAGGAAAAAAAGAAAGACCAGAAAGGATCAGAGAAAATCTTCAGAAACAGCCATAAAACAAGAAATAAAATGGCAATAAATACATATCTGTCAATAATTACTTCAAATGTAAATGGACTAAATGCTCCACTCAAAAGACATACAGTGACAGATGGATAAAAAAACAAGACCCATCCATATACTGCCTACAAGAGACTCATTTTAGTCCTAAAGACACCTGCAAATTCAAAGTGAGGGGATGGAGAAACATCTAACATGCAAACATGTCAAAAGAAAGCCAGTGTACCAATACTTATATCAGACAAACTAGACTTTAAAACAAACACAATAACAAGAGACAAAGAAGGACACTATATAATAATAAAGGGGACAATCCTACAGGAAGATATGACAATTGTAAATATTTATGCACCCAACACAGAGGCACCCATATACATAAAACTGTTAATAACAAACATAAAGGAACTAATCTGATAATAACACAATAATGGTAGGGGACGTTAACACCCTACTTACATCAATGGACAGATCATCTAAACAGAAAATCAATAAGAAAACAATGGCTTTGAATGACACACTGGAACAGAACATTCCATCCTAAAACTCCAGAATACACATTCTTTTCAAGTGCACATAGAACATTCTCCAGAACAGATCACACAATAGCCCACAAAACAAGCTTCAACGATTTCAAAAAGAATAAAATCATACCATGCATCTTTTCTGACCATAAGGAATAGAAGTCAACCACATGAAAATATCTGGAAGACCACAAATACATGGAGGTTAAGTAACATGCTACTGAACAATGAATGCACCAACCAGAAATAAAAGCAGAAATTAAAAAGTACATGGATACTGGGGCCCCTGGGTGGCTCAGTCGGTTGAGCATCCAACTTCGGCTCAGGTCATGATTTCATGGCTCATGAGTTCAAGCCTCACATCAGGCTCTGTGCTGATAGCTCAGAGCCTGGAGTCTGCTTTGGATTCTGTGTCCCTCTTTCACTGTGCCCCTCCCTTGCCCATGCTCCTTCTCTCTCTCTCTCTCTCTCTCTCTCTCTCTCTCTCTCTCTCTCAAGAATAAATAAAACATTAAAAAAATTTAAAACAAGGTACATGGATACAAAAATGAATACACAATGGGCCATAACCCTTGGGATGCAACAAAAGCAATTCTAAGAGGGAAGTTTACATGTCAACAAACTAGACATCTAGAAGAAATAAATAAATTCCCCAAAACCTCCCAATATGTAATGAGGAAGAAATAGGAAATTTGAACAGACCAGTTTCCATCAGTGAAGTTAAATCAGTAATCAAAAAACTCCCAATAAAAAAAAGTTCAGGACCAGATGGCTTCAAATCCTACCAAATATTTATTTATTTATTTATTATCATATTTATTTTTTCCAACGTCCCTGCAAGAGATTTTATGTATTCTATTTTACAGAAGAGGAACCCGAGACTCAGAGAGGCAAGATAACTTTTCCAGGGTTGCTCAGGTTATGGTTAGAATTATAAGTCAGATCTAGATACCTAGGCAAAGCATCAGCTTTTTTTATTATTATTTTTTTAAATATGAAATTTATTGTCAAATTCGT